AAGAGGGATTATTTTCTGTTTTGTTCCCTGTTAGATCCGGAATGCCTGTAATAGTGTTTGGTACACAGCAGAAGTGTGGTAAATGTTTATTGGATGGATGGATGAATGGATGGATGGATAGATGGATGGATAGATGGACGGATGGATGGAAGGTGGCCTGGGGAATGTCATCAGGTCTACATTCTGATCCTGGATTTGTCTCCAACTCTCTGTGAGATGTTGGGCAAGTCCCCAGCCCTCCCTCAGTTTCCATTTCCTTACAGGTAAAATAAAAAGGTGAGACCGGACCATCTATTCTTAACGAGGGCAATAGCACCACCAAGGGGTGAAAATTGACTCTTGGAAAGCAAAAAATCTTACTCTTTTTATGTATAAGACACAGATGTACATACAGTACTACAGTACATAAAAAGATATTCATTATATCTGTCACATTTAAGTTTCATGAGGTGGGGGGAAATTAGGAAACAAATGTCTAGAAATACTCCTTAGGTGAGTGACAATTTAAAAAAAGGTTGAAAAACACTAGATTAGATGGTCTTTGAGGTTCCTTCCAGGTGTAACAGTCTATGAACCTTTGCCTTTAGGTAAGGGGGTGGATGGAAGATATCTGGAAGAATGTTCTAGAAACAGGGAACAGCAAGAGCCAAAACTCTAAAAGTGGGAATATACTCCATTGCTATCAAACCAATTCTGTCTCATGGTGACCCAAGTGTTACAGAGTAGAACTGTGCTCCATAGGGTTTTCAATGGCTGTAATCTTTATAGAAGCAGATTGCCAGGCCTTTCTTCCGTGGCTCTGCTGGGTAGGTTTGAAAGAACAATCTTTCAGTTAGCAGCCAAGTGCAAACCATTTGCATCACCCAAGGAACAGCCAATACAGGGAGATGAGGTCAGAGAGGCCATGTGGGGAGGCAGATGATGGAGAACCTTGTAGGACTAGGAAATTGTTTTTTTTTTTTTTTTCCTCAGAGTGGAATAGAGAGCATGGGAGAGTTTTAAGCAGGGAAGAGACATGATCTTCCTTACATTTGAAAAGGATCACTCTGGCTGCTGGGTGCTGAACAGACTATTCGGGGGCAAAGGTGGAAGCTGGGAGACCAGTGAGGAGAAGAGAGAAGGTGGTGGCTTAGACCAGGGTGGTAGCAGTGGGGATGCTAATAAGTGGTTGGATTCAGGATACATTTTGAAAGCAAAGCCAGCGGATTTGCTGATGGATTGGATTGTGGGTTGTGAGACAAAGGGAAGAGTTATAGATTCTTCCAAAGTTTTGCCTGAATAACCGCGGGAAAAAGTAGCTTCAGTTTTGGATGGGTTCCATTTGAGATGTGTATTAGGCATCTAAGGAGCCCTGGTGGTGCAGCTCTTAAGTGCTCAGCTAACAGAAATGCTAGTGGTTTGAACCCATCCAGCGGCTCCACAGGAGAAAGACCTGGCGATCTGCTCCCATAAAGATTACAGCCTAGGAAACCCTATGGGGCAGTTCTACTCTGTCACAGGGGGTCGCTATGAGTTGGAATCAACTCAACGGCTCCCAACAACATTAGATATTCATGTGGGAGTGTCAAGTAGGCAATTGGATATTCAGGGATGAAGTTGAGAGAAGAAGTCTGAGTGGAAAGACACACTAATAAGATTCTGCCTCTCCCCATCCCTCTCACAGCCCATCCTTATCTCTCCCAGCCCTACAGCCCTCTGCCCTTCCCCATCACAGCTCCTATCCCCTTCATACACTTGTCTGTTTCCCTCCATCAAACTGGATGAGAGCAAGTGCCTGATGCTTCTTGTTTAGCTTTGTCTTTCCCAGGACCTGGCTTGCGCACAGTAGGTCCCAGGCAAATTATCTGCTGGATGAAAGGAAAGGATGATACAATGAGGGGTTAAAAAGTATTAAAGTAAAAATATTCCCAAACATTCCCTCCCTTCCTGAGCCAGATAATCTATTTTCCAGCAGGCTACTCAGATCCCCACCCCTTCCTGTCCCTATCAGACTAATTGGGCACAGGGATATGGGCCAAGAGAGGCCGGAAAAGGAACTAAGGGCCTATGAGAGTTATTAAGACAATCTATAGAATAAAGAATCAGGAGAGTGGAAGGAGAAGAGGGAGAGGAAGATTGCTTATATACCTATTGTATTGTATTGTATTGTATTGTATTGTATTGTATTGTATTGTATTGTATTGTATTGAATTGTATTGTATTGTATTGAATTGTATTGTATTGTATTGAATTGTATTGTATTGAATTGAACTGTATTGTATAGTATTATATTGTATTGTATAGTATTGTATTGTATAGTATTGTATTGTGTTGCATTGTATTGAATTGTATTGTATTGTATTGAATTGAACTGTATTGCATAGTATTGTATTGTATTGTATTGTATAGTATTGTATTATATTGTTTTGAATTGAACTGTATTGTATAGTATTGTATTGTATTAAATTGTATTGTATTGAATTAAACTGTATTGTATAATATTGTAGTGTATTGTATAGTATTGTATTGTATTGTATTGAATTGTATTGTATTAAATTAAACTGTATTGTATAGTATTGTATTGTATTGAACTGTATTGTATTGTATTGAATTGAACTGTATTGTATCGTATTGTATTATAGCAATGATTCTGAGGATGGCTGTCATGATTTGAATTATGTCCCCCAAAAAATGTGTGTATCAATTTGGCTAGGCCATGATTCCTGGCACTGTGTGATTTTCCTGTATGTTGTAAACCTGCCTCTATGATGTTAATGAGGGAGGATGGGTGGCAGTTGTGTTAGTGAGGTAGGACTGGATCTACAAGACTGGATTGTGTCCTGAGGCAATCTCTTGAGATATAAAAGACAGAAGTGAGCAGTGAGACAGGGGGACCTCATACCATCAAGAAAGCAGTGCCGGGAGCAGAGCGCGTCCTTTGGACCTGGGGTCCCTGTGCAGAGAAGCTCCTAGTCCGGGAGAACACCAAAGAGAAGAAGGCCGACAGAGAGAAAAAGCCTTCCCCTGGAGGTGACCCCCTGAATTTGGACTTTTAAGCTACTTGACTGTGAGGAAATAAACTTCTCTTCATCAAAACCATCACTTGTAGTATTTCTGTTGGAGAAGTACTAGGTGACTAAGACAATGGCACAGGACCGGATGGTGTTTTGTTCTGTTGTACATGGGGTCGCTATGAGTCAGAACCTACTCAATGGGACCTAACAACAAGAACATTATATTACATTACATTAGATAGAGAGAGAGGTATCCCACCACTGCTCAGGCTGGCAGTGGAATGGGAGTTTGTTTTGTTTCACAGGCTTTCTTTGGAGGGTGGGGGGTGTTAAATGAGAGACTTCAGGACAGCGCGTGTGAGAGAAAATTGGGAAGACAGAAAAGGTGTGTGAGGAATTTTGTTAGGGGAGGGGGCTAGCTCCTCATGCGTGTCTTTGAAAAACACAGGTTAGGAGCAATTTACCAGGAAATAATAGCAATGGTAAATATATATGCACCTAATAACAAAGTATCACAATTCTTAAAGAAAAAAAAAAATCTGGAAGCAAAAATGGACAGAACTAAAGGGAGAAACAGATAAATCCAAATCACAGTACGAGATATTAGCAGCCTTCACTCAGTAAATGATAAACATTGATTTTTAAAAAATCAGTAAGAATATAGCAAAATCTAACTAGTACTGTCAACCAACTTGACCTGACATTTACAGAGCACTCTACCCAGCCCTGGTGGTGCAGTGGTTAAGAGATCAGCTCTTAACCAAAATGTCAGCAGTTCGAATCCACGATCTGCTCCTTGGAAACCCTATGGGGCAGTTCTACTCTGTCCTATAGGGTTGCTACGAGTTGCCTCTGTCCTATAGGGTCGCTATGAGTTGAATCAACTCAGCAGCAGTGGGTTATGGGTTATACCCAACAACTGCAGAATGTATATTATTTTCAGGAACATATCCAGGTCTATCAAATATAGGCCATATGCTAGGCCATAAAACAAATCTCAATCTCAGATGACTGAAATCTTACAGAGCATGTTCTCTGACAAGAACGGAATTAATGACAATAAAAGATCTAGAAAATCCTAAAATATTTGGGCTTTAGATAACATTTTTAAATAAACCATGAGCCAAAGGAGACATCGCAAGGGAAATTAGAAAATATCAGGCTGAATATTAATGAAAATACATCAAATTAAAATTGGTGATAAGCAGCTAAAGCAATACTCGGAGGGAAGTGTTTAGCTTTATATATGTATATTAGAAAAGAAGAAAGGCCTGCAACCAGTGACCCAAGATTCTACCTTAAAAAGCTTGAGAAAGAAGAACAAAGTAAACTTGAAGTAAATTATTATTACTGTTGTTGTTTGCCATGGAGTCAATTCCAACTCATAGCGACCGTATAGAACAGAGTAGAACTGCCCCGCAGGGTTTCTAACGAGTGGCTGGTGGATTCAAACTGCCGACCTTTTGGTTAGCAGCCTGAGCTCTTAACCACTTCACCACCAGGGCTCCTTGAAGTAAACAGGAAGAGGGAAATAATAAAAATAAGAGCAAGAGTACAGACCCAGGACACCGTTTTCACTCAGTAATGAAGTCACTCCCAAGGTTCACCCTTCAGCCAAAGATTTGACAACCCTGTAAAACAAAACGAGACTAATTGGGCACAGCAGCCCAAGGACAAGGACTAGAAGGCAGGAGAGGACAGGAAAGCTGGTAACAGGGAATCCAAGGTCAAGAAGGGAGAGTGTTGACATGTCGTGGGGTTGTTAACCAATGTCATAAAACAATATGTGTACTAACTGTTTAATGAGAAACTACTTGTTCTGTAAACCTTCATCTAAAGTACAATAAAAACTTTTTAAAAGAGCAAAAATCAGTGAAATAAAACACAAACAAATGATAGAGAAAAGTAAAAAAGTTAACAACTGGTTCTTGGAAAAGATTAATGAAATTGAAAAACACAAGCAAACATTGGATCTTCTTTTTTATTACTTCTAGTTTTTTGAACTGACTGTGCATAGACTGGCCCACATGGGTGCTGGCTTTACATGGGTTACGTAGGGAGGCAGAATGAGAGAGCACATAACAACCTCCAAAGCCCTGCCATTCCAGGCAAGCACAGTTGCGTTCCTCAGTGCCAGGCTCCCTGCTCACTGCTGGATCCTGCGAATACTCTGCACCTGGAAGGTCTGGGCATGAGAGCCCCACTCCCGGAAATGCTTGTAGTTGCCCGAGGGGCGATCGCACTCCAGCACGTACTGAAAACCTCGGTAGCCAGGAAACTGGGAGCAAACCCAGCTGGAGGAGGGAAGAGACAGATTGTTACCCTAAAGAGGCACCAGCACAATTATCAAGACAGGGACAAAGGGGTCCACATTCCAGCCACCTTGGCCTTTTTGCAGTGTCCAGAATGTGTCGTGCTCTTTCTAGTACTGGGCCTTTGATCATGCTGTTCCCTCTGCCAGAAACACCATTCCAGCCGTTTTTTGTCTTGCCAAGTTCAACTTGTCCTTCAGATTTCAGCTCAATCATCATTTCATCAGGAAACCCTTCCCTGTTCCCCAAAACAGACCACAGTCCCTTACTGTACCATTTCTTAGTATCCTGTGTCCTTTGTTTGTAGGACTTGCAATCACTAATTGTCAAATTATTTGTAACATGTCAGCCGCCCCTGCCAGGAGATAAGCTCCCTGAGAGTAGGGATGTGTGTGTCTTGTTCCTTGTTATCCCCAGTGCCTAGCACAATGCCTGGCAAAGAGAAGGGTCTCAATAAATATTTGGTGAATGAATGAATAGATGAATGAAGGGAAGTCTAATTCTTTCCCTTTCCTCCCTTATCCAGAGACACTTCCAAGGAAAGGGCTATTGTTCTTTGAATTCGTTGACCACCCTGTTATGGATTGAACTGGGTCTCCAAAAATTAGGTGTTGGAATACTAACCCCTGTACCTATGGATGTGATCCTGCTTGGAAAAAGGGTTTTCTTTGTTATGTTGATGAGGTCGTACTAACATAGGGTGTGTCCCTATGAGTTATAAAAAAAGCAGATTAGATACAGACGGGGCAGGGGGCACAAACTGGGGAAGACAGATGCCATGTGAGGATCATCTACAAGCCAAGGACGACAAGGAAGGAATCCACACGACCAAGACCCTGATTTGGACCTTTAACTCCAGGACTTTCTATTCTTTAAAGTCATCCACTTGTAGTATTTCTGTTCCAGCAGCACTGGGAAATTAAGACCCCCTCACATTGTTCAGAACTGGACAAGGATTGATGTCTTGTTTTCGGAGCTTTTGTTTCCCCTTCTGTAAAAGAAGGAAGTGGCCTCAAGAATCACAAAGGGTTCATCTTACTCTGAAAGAAAATGATTCCCTGGTGGTTCCTGAGAAAACTGAAAAGACAACAAAACAAAAAATCCTACCTCCTCCCTCAGCCCCTGCCTACCAGAAGCCAAAGAACAACTTAGAAGATGGCTCTGTTGTCCTCACTAAGCAAGGATCTCACACCTCAGCCTTCACCTGCCCCCTCCTGGGTGGAAAGGGTGAGAAAGGTCAGTCAGTCCTGGGCTTGAGGCTGGATTCAGTCACTTACCTGGTACTGGACTATGAGCAAATCGCTTAGCTCACATCTGTTTGTTTTATGACTAGGCGTCTATCCCCCCTCTTCCGGTGATAGACCTGATACCCCTCCCCTTCGAGTGGGACTGACTCCCACAATGAGCATGTGACCAGGCCTAGCCAACGAGAGCATCCCACTCCTGTGGGCATGGTGACTAGTTGAGAGTTGACCACATGAGAAGCGGCCAATGAGAGCCTTTCCTGGAACTCTGAATAGAATCACTAAGAAAGAGGCACTCTCTTTCCCTGGGGCTTTTTGTGTAGGGAAGAAGCAGTGATCTTTGACTTTACATGTGAAGAGCCTGCCTGAGAATGTAGCCACACAGAGGCAGGCAGAGCAAGAAGAGGAGAAAGATCCCTGCTGTAGCATCTGGATCCAGCTGTGCCTGAAACTGTTGCAGCAGACAACAAATCTCCTTTTGTTTTAAGCCAGTTTGATCTGGGTTTCTATCTCTGGCAGTTCCACAGATTCTGGCCAATAACTCCCTGTGCATCAGTGTCCTTCTCTGGAATGTGGGCATCAAAGCTCCAAAGCCTCCAGGGTTTTTACAGGAAGTGCCCCTACCCATCCCAACAACCTCTCTTTCCCCTACCAGGCAGAGCCCTGGAGCCACTTACGCTCCTGAGTGGACACGGAAGGAGCCTACTTCATTGCCTTCCCAGCCCATGGCCTGGAGGGAGGGGCAGTCATCACTCAGCTCCCCTTTCCTGCCCAGGAAGTTCTCTTGCTCAAAGATGGTCAGCTTTGAGTCACGGTGGTTCTGTGGGGACAGAGAACAGTTGCAGACCCCTAGACACCCAGTTGAAAACCCAAGAGCCTCTGCTGGCCCCCACACCTATGCCCTTGGGTCTCCCAACATCAGCCCCCCTCGCAAACCTTTGGGAGGGCAATAAGGCAACAGGTACCAGAAACCTTAGACAAGGTGTATCCTTTGCCCAGCAATCCCCCTTCCAGAAATTTACACAAAGGAAATTACCAGGGAACAAATTAGCCATTAAAGATACTCATCCTCAGCTTTGGTGATAACAGTAAAACACCAACAAACAACAGAAATAAACCTGGAATCAACCTAAATGTCCAAAAATAGGGGACCAGGTGGTGAGATTTCGCCATGGTTAAGAGGAAGGGTGCAGAGACCTGGGTTCAAATCCTATCTCTGCCACTTACGGGTGGACTAAGCTTAGTCACATGGCATTTCGGAGCCTCTGCTTCCATATCTCATATAGGGTCGCTATGAGTCGGAATCGACCCCATGGCTACGGGTTTGGTTTTGGTGGTTTGTTTCCACAGCTGTAAAATGAAACTAACCACACCTTCTTTTCAGGGTTGTTCTGAGGATTAAATGAATTCAGAAGTTCATCCTCTGCTGAATTGTAAACGGTGTGAGGTCAAGGATTGCATCTGTCACATTTCACCAAGGGTCCCTGTATTTAGCACAATGTCTGGGAAATTGGTGGAATAAATAAGCAGATGAGTTATTCACACAGTGGAACACTACAGAGCTATGAAAAATGACGTTGCAAATGAAATTTAATCACCAGGGAGGAGATTGTGAAATATTTGCCTAGCAAGGAAAACCAACTGGTTCATTCTGATTCCATTTTTGTAACAACTTTTATGTGACAGTTAAGGTTGTGGGTCAACTTGGCTGGGCCACGATTCTCAGTGGTTTGGCAGTTATGCAATGATGTAATCACCTCCATGATGAGATCTGCTATGAGCAGCCAATCAGTTGAAAGAGACTTTCCTTGGGGGTATGGCCTGCATCCAATATGTATGGACTTTCTGCAAAGCTCGCTGGCTTTTGCTATCCTCTGGATCCTGCATTTGGCTCACTATTATCTGAACTCTGGTTCTTGGGACTTGAGCCAGCTTACCTGCCCATCTTGGATTTGTCAGCTTCCGTAGCCTGTGAGCCAGCGACCTGCTGTCTGACCCGCTGATCTTGGGTTTGTCAGCCCCTGCAGCTACATGAGTCAGGAGAAGCCTCCAGCCTGCTGCCTGACCCACAGACTAGGGACTTTCCAGCCTCTACAACCACGTGAGCTGTTTCCTTGATATAAATCTCTCTCTCTCTGTCTCTCTCTCTATATATATGTACATGCTTCACTGGTTTTGCTTCTCTACAGAACTCAGCCTACGACTGTATATATATATATATATATACACATATATACATATATGTATGTGTATATATATAACGTTTATCTGTGGATAGCAAAGAAGACCAGAAAGAAATCCACAGCACTATTAACAGTGGCCTTCTGTCTCAGAGGTGTGGTTGTAAACGACTTCTGTTTTCTTATTCTGCTATATCAGGTTTTCCCTCTAAATCTTGGACAATAAATATCTTATGTGGTTTTTAATCAATAAAAATTGTTTTCGAAGTAAAAAAGAACAAAATACACCTTCCTAAGCCTCAGTTTTTTCATCTGTAAGTTGGGTATAAAAAACCAAACTCATTGCCGTAAAGTCAATTCTGACTCACGTGGCACAAACCATTTGCACCGGCCTACTAACTGAAAGGCTGGCAGTTCGAACCCACCCAGAGACACAGCAGAAGAAAGGCCTGGTGATCTGCTTCCATAAAAATTACAGCCAAGGAAACCCTAATGGAGAATTTGTACTCTGTAACACTCGGTGTTGCCATGAGTCAGAATCAACTCAACAGCAATGGGTTTGGTTTGGGTTTTAAGATGGGAATAATGATGCCTACCCCACCCATACTCCATAAGCAGCAGCTAAAATATAAAATCGAGGGCACTGGTGATGAATCAGAAACATGAAATAGAACTCTTCCACCCCACCTCATCCTGCCACCTCTGGTACCCAGCTTCTTCCAAGATCCCTGAGTCATGAAGTGGGGTTGCAAAGCACACATGAGCACATATCATAACCACAGTTGCTGTGGACAGAGTGTTTATGGCAGACTCTGTCCAGACGCTTTACATTTTTCTTCCCCACCATACAGGTACTGGAGTCCCTGGGTGATGCCAACAGTTAATGGGTTCAGCTACTAACCGAAAGTTTGGAGGTTTGAGTCCACCCAGAGGCACCTCAGAAGAAAGTCCTGATGATCTACTTCTGAAAAATCAGCCAGTGAAAACCCTATGGAGCACAATTCTACTCTGACACACAAGGGGTCACCATCAAAGTCGACTTGACGGCAACTGGTACTGTTATACCACTACGGTCCCATTTCAAGATGAAAAAACTGAGGCTCCGAGAAAGGAGGGACTGCCCAAGTCTCACAGCTTAAAGAGGTGACGTGAGAATTCGTACCCTGGGACATCTGATTGCCAAGCCCCCAGTGAAGGCTGGAAGCCAGGAGGGAGGCTCAGTATCTCCCTGGGACCAGGCAGGGGCAGTACTCACAGTGCAGGCCAAGGGCCGGAAAGAGGTGAGCCTTTCAGAGGGGTAGGCCGTGTTGCCACTCCAGGCATCCCAGCACGGGTACTCGCCCCTCTCCAGCACGTACTGCTGTCCTTGGTAGCTGGCGTGCTCAAAGCCCACCCACCTGTGGACAGAGGGCAGGCGGTGTAGGAAGTGAGAGACCTTCAGCTGAGTCCTAGAGCAGTGGTTGTCCCTAGGAGACATTTAACAATGTCTGGAAACTTCCTTTTTTCCTGAGCCCCTGTGTGATGCATACAGTTAACGCGCTCACCTGCTAACTAAAAGGTTAGAGATTTGAGTCTACCCAGAGGAGGCTTGGAAGAAAGCCCTGGCAATCTACTTCTGAAAGATCAGCCATTGAAAACCCCATGGAGCACAGTTCTACTCTGACACATGGGGTTGCCATGAGTCAGAATTGACTCGATGGCAACAGTTTTTGTTTTCGATTTGTTTTGGAGACATTTTGGGTTGTCACAAATGGGGGAGCAGGTACTACTGTCATCTTGAGGGTTGAGCAGGGATGCTGCCCATCATCTTACAATGCACAGGATGGCTGCCACCACAAAGAAGTCTTCAGCCCAAGATATCAAGAGCACAAGGTTGAGAAAGCATGTTCTGGACCCAGAGGTCCGCTGATTTGTTGTGTGTCCTATAGGTTGAGGAACTGCCCCCTGCTGGTGTCCTGAAGACCTTGCACACGTCCATATAGGCCACGCAGGCCTATATGACCTAAGCCTTGGTGGAACTCCTCGTCACCTCCCCGGAAGACAGGCCGTTTCTCACTTGCCTCCCTATCGTGAGAGAGGCTACTATGAGGCAGTTTCTTATCTACCCCTGTGGTTCTGAAGAGACATGGGCCTTCCCACCTTGACACACTGTGGGCTACAGCAGCTGGCAATAAAATCACTTAGCTGTTGCGTGGAAATGGCTCCCAGCAGCAGAATGTCCCCTTTCCCCTCTCCTGCTCCTGTTGCCTGTCATCTGTTGACCCTTTTGTGTTGGTGGGACACTTGTCCCTGTGGGACAAGGGACACTGGAGGTTGACACCCAGCTGACCTGGCGTTTGCTTCTATGCAAGGAATACACTGTCTGCACTGATCAGGGCTCATCTCCTTACCGGCCTGCTTGACATCTCTGGACAGGCCACTGTCCTCCTCTGAGCCCCACTTCCCCACCTGTACAAAGCAGAAGCTAAAAGAGTGTTTACCATAATGTGAGATGTGTAAATATCACTCACAGTGACCTTAGTGGCACTCACAGGCAGAGCATTAAATGACTCGAGTCACATAGGGAGGACATCATTCTCCTTTCAATTTACTTTTGAACCTTCTAGAACTATGCTATCCAACATGGTAGCCACTAGCCACATGTAGCTAATTAAATTCATTAATTAAAATTAAATACAGGTAGTCCCTGAGTTACTACAGGGTTCTGTACCGAAGACTCTATCATAAGTCAGTTCTGAACATTAAGTCGAATGCCTCTTTTTTTTTCTTTTTTTGAGTTTTCATTATTATTGCCTTTTATTAGCAGAATCTTTAGAAATCTGATCTTTGAACATCTGCTAGTGAACATCAGCAAATTACAAGCTGCAACATACGATAAAATGTACAAGAAATCCCAAAACAGATGGTCATAAGTGCAGTTTGTCGTAACCTGAATACGTCATAAGTCGGGGACTACCTATAAATCAAAATGCAGTTACATTTCAAGCCCTCAATAGTCACATGTGGCCAGTGGCTCTGAATTGGGGGGTACACAGGAAGAATATTCCCATCACTGCAGAAAGTTCTATTGAATGCTGCTGGTCTAGAAAGTCTCAGTGTGTTATCTGGTGGTCCAGTAGTAGAATTCTTGTCTTCCATGTGGGAGACCTGGGTTTGATTCCCAGCCAATGCATCTCATACTCCGTCACCACCCATCTGTCAGTGGAGGCTTTCAAGTTGCTGTGATGCTGTACAATTTTCAGCAGAGCTTCCAGACTAAGACAGACTAGGAAGAAAGACCTGTCGATCTACTTCTAAAAATTCAGCCAGTGAAAACGCTATGGACCACTAACGGTCCGATCCAATTGTGCATGGGGTTGCCTTGAGTCAAGGCCTGGCTGGACAGCAATTAACAACAACAATACCTCTTTCACAACCAAAAATGGGGACAGCGCAGGACCAGGCAGCATTTTTTTCTTCGTGCATGAGGTCATCAAACCACAGCTAACAATTAACACCTCTCCACATCTCACTAAGCCATTTAAAAAACAAAAAAAACAAAAGAGGGCAGGTCTCAGCTTATGCTCAGAGCCTCAAGGAGGCAATACTTTGCTAAAAATGATTAGCATTATTTTGGACTATATTTATTTTCACTTTTGGTGAGTGATGTTGGCTTCTGATTTATGCAACTGGAACATTTCTGACCAGACATTGCTGCATCCAGGGGGCAGGGTGTGTATGAATGGCTCCCCCTACAGTTAAGCAGTACACAACCCGCATAATCTTACACGGCAGTCCTGCACACTCCTCAGCACCTCAGGCCCAAGGGAGGCACAAGAGAACAGTTAGAGTCTGGGAAGACAGAACATCTGAAAATCCAAGCACCACACTCCAGGCCCCTCCCTGCACCCCACCCCACCCCGATTCAGGTCCCCCTGGACTCACGCTCCACTCAGCACTTTCAAGGATCGCACCGTCTCAAAGCCAAGCTCCAGTACGCTAGGGCACTCGGCCGTGAACTCATGCCTCCTGCCCTGGAAGCCCTCCTCGTCCCACACCACCATCTAGACCGGAGAGGAGAAAAGGTGAACGCCCACCTAAGAACCCTGTGGGGGGTGAGGGGTGAGGGGCTCACCCCAGAACTCAGGGTGGGGCAGGGCAGGTAGGTCCAACTTATGGCAACTCCATGTGCATTCACAGTAGACTTGTGCTCCATAGGGTTTTTAATGGCTGATTTTTTTGGAAGTAGATCTCCAGGCCTTTCTTCTGAGGTGCCTCTGGGAGAATCTGAATTTGAACTGCCAACTTCTTCACTAGTAGCTGAGTGCGTAATTGTTTGGGCCACCCAGGGACTCCATCTCCAAGGTAAAGCAGGAGATAAAGCAGGAATTGAGAACTCAGATGCAGCCAGGGTCCAGGCAAGTGAGGTAGGTGGGGCCTGTGAGGACTGGAGATCACAGGCCCCACATAAAGGGGTGGCTACAGCTCGTTGCCACTGTTGCCGCGTGGGAATGTGAGCCAGTGCTTCCAATTCTCAAGACAACTCACAAATTCAGAATTAAAAAAAATTTTTTTTAAGTGTTTTAAAACACAAAGGAGGTCAACGAAATCATTCCCAAAGACGGTGTGCAATCCTTGGGCTGCCAGTTTGCTCCCTCTCCAGAGAGTGTTCCCTGGATGGGGTAAATGGTTAACAGGCTCACAAAGGCATAGTGGAGGCGGGAGGACAACAGCGTACTTGCCCCCGGGCACAAGTCCAAGGAGGCACCAGTGGCATCACTAGGGAAGTGAGGGGGTGCAGACCACACCAGGTGACATTGTCAGAGGGTGTGACACCACGCAGTCTGGAGATGCGTCCAAGGCCAATCTATACAGGACTCGAACGACTCTAGAAAGCCCACGCCCGCTTCAGCCTTGTTTCGGTGCTGCTCTCTGTTGCTGTGGCTCTCGGTGTCTGCAGGGGTGATTCACCAGCCAGGAGGCGCCGCCGCAGGCCAGGACCCAGCCAGCCTGTCAGCCTGCCACCCGGGACAGCCTTCCCGGCAGCAAATTGTTGCCGCTGTCAATGTCTAGGAGCCTTGGTGGTGCAGTGGTTAAAAACACTTGACTGTTAACCAAAAGGTCAGCGGTTTGAACCCACTAGCTGGTCCATGGGATAAAGATGTGGCAGTCGGCTTCTGTAAAGACTTACAGCCTTGGGAACCCTGTGGGCACTTCTAGTCTGTCCTACAGGGTCACTATGAGTCAGAATCAACTCGATGGCAGTGGGTTTAGTTTTTATCAACTCTATGGCAATGGGATTCATCTTAAATTTGGAGGAGTGAGGCGCAACTTAGAGATTTCTCCTAGGTGCTGGATTTGGAGAGGGGCGCAATTTAGAGATTGCCCCTGGGTGCTCGTTACCCTCACTACGGGCCTGCACGCTTGGTGGCTAACTGAAAGGTTGAGGTTCGAGTCTGTCCAGAGGTACCTTGAAAGAAAGGCCTGGCCATCTACTTCCAAAAATCAGCCATTGAAAATCCTATGGAGCACAGTTCTACTCTGACATGCATGGGGTCAGATGAGTTGGAGTCAATTCAATTGGTGGTGGCAGTAGTGGTGGATCCAGAGAATAATATAGTTAATGTTTTGGAACCGGAAAGACACAAGTTCAAGTTTAATTTTGAGCTCTCTCTCTGCTCCTGTGAGGGACCTTTCTTCCCCTCTCTGAGCCCCAGTTGCACCCTCTGTGAAAGGGGGCAATCGTAAACCCCGTCTCCTAGAAGTGACCTGGAGATTCAGTGAAAGTGGAGGAGGGGTCCTCTGGATCCAGGTTTGAAACCCGCCCCCTCCCTGCTCCCCACCACCTCCCTCACCCCCGTGCCTCTTCCTACCTTCCAGGGTCCCCCCAACTTGGTACACTGCAGCGTCATGCCAGCCCCTTCCTACACAGGAGAGGAACATAATCACCTTCTGCCCTAACCCTGCTCTCCTCCCTGACACTGAAGGCTGGTTTGGGCTGAGTTGGGATCTAGATGGGGTTCAGATGTGACTGGGCTAGGCGCAAAGTGTGGCTTTGGCCTGCCCTTCTCTTTCCCTTCCCATATCCTTTTTTCCCTTCCTGTGGCCATCTCAGAACATCCCCGTTCTGGGTCCTGGTGGCTCTGCCCCCCACCTGTCTTGTTTTATCCTCTCTCTAGGAGAACATTCTATGTCTGTCAGAGGGTAGATGCATCACCCGGCAAGTACCTCTTCCAGAGACAGTCCCTAACCCAAAGGGTGCAAATGCAGCCAACAGGACTATGAGAATAGATTTGCTTTTAAATCAGAGTAAAAGCCCTGATGGCAAAATGGTTAAACACTCAGCTGCCAACCAAAAGGTCAGCAGTTCAAACCCGCCCCCCACCAGAGGCTCCAAGGGAGAAAGACCTGGAGATCTGCTCCTGTAAAGATTATAGCCAAGGAAGCTCTATGGGGCAGTTCTACTCTGTCAACGTGGACTTGCTATGAGTCAAAATTGACCCAAGGGCACCTGGCAACAAGAAGATAGGTGTAGGTCTTGATGCCTAGACCCATCCTCGGTTAGGGTGAGGATGGCATTCTGGATGACACAAAGATGTCCCCAGGATTGGGGATCTGGACTCCCTGCCTCCCAGGTCAGGCTCACTCAAAGCTCCTGATCCTCCCCTTCCCCAAGTCTGGAACTTACCTAGCTGAGCCCAGAGAACATGCCAGACCTGGGCCAGCTGCAGCCAGGCTCTTATAGTCTGGGTGGGGAGAGGGGCCCCCAGGAGACAAAGCCCCAACTCAGCAAATGAGCGGCAGAAACAAAAGCAAGTGCTGGAGAGGGATCAGCAGCTCTGGCTTTGGCTGGGAGGGAATGGGCTGGCTCGCCAACCTCAGAGACCAGCTGTGAAGAAGGCAAGAGGAGGAAGGTCTGCCATAATCAGCTCCACTGAGCTTCTGTCTGGAGCAATAGAATGAGCACTGAATGAGGAGTCCAAAAATTTCATTCTCATCCTGCCTAGCCATGCGACCTTGGGCAAGTCATTTCCCCTCCATTTCTGCCTACAAAAGGAGATAAGAATAAACTTGGGTTGTTGTGAGGTTATGTAACATGTCTGACACAGAGCAAACGCTCAGCAAATTCGTTTCTCCCTTTCCACCCCGTTCCTCTTCCAGCTGGGGCAATCGAGGTAGGCTTCATGTTGGAGGTGGCATTTAAACTCGATTCCGAAGGGTGGGAGGATTTGCGCAAAGTGAAAAGGAAGCAGGGGCATTCCAAGCAGAGGAAACAAACAAAAGTGCAGTGGTAGAATTTGCGGCACATGTACCAGAAAGAGCCGGTAGCCTGATGTGGCTGGAGCAGATGGAGAGAGGCAGAAGAGGTGGGCTGGGTCAGGACCTGCAGGGCCCAAAAAGTTACATGGATGAGTCTGCTGGCTCTGAGGACAGAATAAAGGAGCTGGTGGGTGAGAGCATGCTTTGCAAACTGTACAGCACCTGTCGACTCTCGAGGGTTTATAGGATTCACTTTGTGCACCCTCGTCCTGCATCCCTGGCCTCTCATAGCTTAGGAAAGAGCTTGGCTGGGAGTCAGGGCACTGAGAGTGAGATCTGACCCTGTTCTTACCACCTGGGTCACCTAGAGGCTGACTGAGCCCCAGCTTACGGCCTGGGAAAGGGCAGCACCAGTTCCCTGTGGGGAGGGTTAAGGACCCTGCCGGTACAACGGTTAAGTACTCGGCAGCTAAGCAAAAGGTTGGTGGTTTGAACTCACCCATCAACTCTGCGGAAGAAAGAGCTGGTGATCTGCTTCTTTAAAAGATTACAGCCTAGGAAACCATATGAGGCAGTCCTACTCTGTCACATGGGGTTGCTATGAGTTGGAACTGACTCGATCGCACCCAACAACAACAACATTTAACGCATGACTTTGATAAACTGTTGCCATGAAAACTAAAGGCTAAGAACACAACCTCTGCAGCCAGACAGAGTGAATTTGAATCCCATGCTTACCGGCTGGGTGACCTTGTGCATGTTACTGAACCTCTCTGAGCCTCAGTTTCCTCATGTGTAAAATGGGTATAACAAAGTAAATTGGGTTTAACCTAAGAGACAGGTATTGTGAGGATCTGTGTGAGTTATACATGAATAGCACTGGAAACTGCTTCTAGAAAAAAAAAAGATTAAAAGAAAACGTTATCTGTCATCATCGTCATTATTGCTAATACTAACAAGGATTATTATTAAATAAAAATTATTAAAAAAGCAGGTCCCTAAGCAAACAAACGGTTTGCACTCAACTGCTAACCTAAAGGTTGGCAATGCAAACCCACCCAGAGGTGCCACAAAAGGAAAGCCTGTCGATCTGCTTGCATTAAGATTACAGCCAAGAAAACCCTATGGAGCAGTTCTACTGCGTAACACGCGGGGTCGTCATGAGACAGAATCAACTCAACCGCACCTAACAAGTACTGCAACAATAAAAAAGCAGGAGTGCATAGTTTTTAAGAGCTTGGGTTCATAGGGCAACATGTGTACTAACTGCTTAACAAGAAACTATTTTGTTCTGTAAACCTTCATCTAAAGTGAGAACAGCAGCACAACCGGAAGAGTGTAGTCGATGTCACTGAACTGCGCACGTAGAAATTTTTGAAATGGTGTATCTTTGGCTATGTGTATTTTCACCAAAAAAAAAAAAAAAAGGTCGAGAAGGGAGAGGGTTGACATGTCGTGGGGTTGTTAACCAATTTCATAAAACAATATGTGTACTACTGTTTCATGAGAAACTATTTGTTCTGTAAACCTTCATCTGACGTGCAATAAATAAATAGATAAATAAATAAATAAAGAGCTTGGGCTCAGGAGTTAAAAAGATGTGAGCCCCCAACTCCACTTTACAGATGAGAAAACTGAGGCTGAGAGAGGCAAAAGGGACTTGCCTCAGTTTTCTCATCTGTAAATGGGGCTAACCACAGCCTTCAACGTACGAGGTCATAGTGAGGATTACAGGAGCTGAGAGCCATAAAACACTCATAGGGGTGCTCACATGAGGGCACCCCCACTTCCACCCCCATCTGGCCCTTTGACGGGGGCTCATTGCCAAACTGGGTCCGGAACTGCCCAGAGACAAGACGGCCTGGCCTCACGGCCCAGACCTGTGGGTGGCCCCACCGCAGGCATCTTGGCTGTGGCTCCAGTGTTCCTCATCCTGTGGTTCCTGCCCCCCACCCCAGGCCTTGGCCCAAGATGAAAGGCTGAGGGGAAAGCTGGAAAGTGAGGGGTGCCAGGTGGGGACAGGGTGATCTCCAGCAGAACTGGGCCGTATGGGGGGCCTGGGGCCCTGAATCCCCATAGAAGAGGCAGGAACCTATGAAGACCCTCCACCCAGGGGCAAGAGAGTGAGTTCCCCTGGGTCCCTCTGCTGGCCTTGCTGGTAGTGCACCTTGAGACTTTGTTCAAGTCACTCGTCCCACCTGGCCTCATTTTCTCTGTTTGTGAAGTGAGGTAGTGAGTGATACAATTTCTGGGATTTGTTCCATTGTTCAAAGTCTTTATTGCTCTACCTCGACCTGTGTGTGTGTGTGTGTGTGTGTGTGTGCGCGCGCGCGCCTTTCTCTCTGTGTCTCTATCTGTGTGTATGTGTGTGTGTGTCTCTTTATCTGTGTGTCTCTGTGTGTGTCAGCATCTCTCTCTCTATCTCTGTGTGTCTCTATATCTAGGTGTCTGGGTGTCTGGGTACCTCTCTCTGTCTGGCGTGTCTCTATCCGTGTGTGCCTCTGCATGTGTCTCTACCTGTACGTATTGTGGGGGGTGTGTCTGTGTGCGTGTCTCTCTCCTTCACCAGCCATCTCCCCCTTCTGCACTCTGATCTCTGTCTACATCGTCTCTTTCTTTTTGGGTGCTCTCCACCTTGCCCAATCTGTCTCCCCGTTTCTCTCTCCCCATCTTGGTTTCCCTTTCTCTCCCTGCATCCCACCTTCTGTTATGACCCGTGGGCAAGACCATCTAGTCACCCAATGTTGATGGAGGTCTTGCTGGGTGCCAGGCCCTGTGCCAGCGCTGGGTGTGCAGTGGTGAGCAAATGTGTTATGTCTAGGCAGCTCTATCCCTGGGTCAGATAATTAGGGGTCTGCAGGCAGTAAACAAAGCAGGGAAACAGGAAGGGAGGAAGCTGGGCCCAGTGGGGAATGTGGGACAGGCCCCACGCCTTGAATGCTCAGTTCACCCAAGCACACCCCTACCCAGAAACAGGGAGCCAGGCTAGGGCCAAGGTCAATCCCACAAGAGTTGAGCGTATAGACCCTGGAGCCAGCCTGCCTGGGCCGCTTCCTGCTCTGGTCTCTCTGTGCCTGCACTCTTCTCATCTGTGAAATGGGTATAATGAAAGTACCAAATAAGTCGGGCTATCCTGGGCATTGACTGAGATGGTGTGGGTAAAGCATTTGGTACCCAGCTTCACACACATAAAACCAGAAAAACCAGTTGCCGTTGAGTCAGTTCGGATTCCTGGCAACCCCATGTGTGTCAGAGTAGAACTGTGCTCCATAGGGTTTTCAATGGCTGATTTTTTAGAAGTAGATTGCCAGACCTTTCCTCCAAAGTGCCTCTGGGTGGACTCAAACCTCGAATTTTCAGTTAGCAGGAGAGCGTGTTAACTGTTTGCACCACCCAGGGACTCCTAACACACATAAGCACTTGGTAAGTAGAGTCATTGATAGCACACCCACGTCTGCCTTTACCAAGCGTTGTCCTGCTCATCATAACCTTCTCTTCTGCACAGCACTCCAGTAGGGATGCTTGTGCCCACTTTATAATTGCAGACACAGAGACCCCAAAGATAGCTTTTGTCGTCAGCTGCCGTCAAGTCTAGTTTCAACTCATAGTGACCCCATGTGACAGAGCAGAACTGCCGCATAGGATTTTCTAGGCTGTAATCTTTACAGAAGCATTTCGCCAGGTCTTTCTCCTGTGGAGCCGCTGGAGGGGTTCGAACCACCAACCTTTTGGGTAGAAGCCAAACACTTAACCGCTGGACCACCAGGGCAGACACCTGCCAATTGCCATGTAGTACGTAGTGATCAAGCCAGGATTCAAATGCAGGTCTCCTAGCTCCCTGGGGGCTCCCCTTTTCCCAGGCCCCATGGCTGACAACAGCAGGTAACTTGTGGCTGGCCCTTCCCCCAGCTGGGGGTGATAGGAGAGCAGTGTGGTAGGGGCAAAGCAGAGGGCAGGTCAAAAGGTGGATCCTTGCCGTTAGGGTTTTTGCTGTGCCTGCCAGGCTCACAATGGAAAATGCAGCTCTCAGCAGTAAGCTGGGACAGGCAGGCCCCCTTGGGCCTGCTGAGCCAGCTCCCCGTTTGTGCCACGTACCATAGGCCTGGTGTCTGCCAGATTATAAAATGGGGGGTCGGCCCCAGTCACCCAAAGCACCCACCTGCCCACCCACTCTCAAACAAGAAGTAGCAGGTCCCCAGGTAAGAGGGAACCCACCTCACTGCACAGAGCTGAAGGGAGGGGAGGAGAAGAGGGGAGTCAGAGAGAAGGGGGGCAAAGGAACAGCAACACAAGAGAGTCAGAGAGAAGTCAGAACAAGAAAATTACAGAGTTGAGAAAAAGATGAGAGAGAGAGGAAAACAAAGAACTGATAGACGGGCAGAGATCCAAAGAAGACAAGTACAGGGGAAGAAAGAGACAGAAAGATAGAAAGGGAGACAGACAGAGAGAAGGAGACAGAGAGAGGGACAGTCACAGAGAGACAGACAGACGGAGACTCATACAGAAAGAGAGAGAGAGGGACAGAAAGAAAGACACACAGACAAAGAAAAGCAGAGAGAGACAGACAGACACACACAAAGAGAAGAAGGCAGACAGAGACTCAGAGACAGAGACAGACAGAAAGACACACACACACACACACACATAGAGAAAAGCAGAGAGAGACAGACAGACACACACAAAGAGAAAAAGGCAGACAGAGACTCAGAGACAGAGACAGACAGAAAGACACATAAACAGAGAGAGAGAGAAAAGCAGAGAGACATCAGAGAGATACAGACAGGCAGAGGGAAAGAGAGAAAAAGAATGAGAACATTTCCTGGCCAGAACGAGCCCAGCCAGCACCCCAAGGTAGTGTTGATTCACAGGCTGATGTGGGGTAGCACGGGCCTGGAAGGTACAGATATGGCCCAGATGTCTGGTCTGCCCTCAGAGGTCAGAGCCCAGAGCAGTGACAGCCCTACTGGTAGACAGATGGGGAGGCGTCTGCCTGCTCCAATAAGAGTGCTCAGGAGTCCAGTGGGCCAGAGGGTCTGCATCTGAGCTGCCAAGGGGTCTTGAATCCCTTGAAAGTCTCTCCAAAACTGAAGGGGGCGTTTTTGTTTCTGGTGACAAGGTGAAGATTTCATCAATCAAAGGCAACTACGACACCATAGCGATTAGGACCCACTGGCACTGACCAAAGCCTTCTCCACCCAATGCCCGCATGGCCACAAGCCTCCTTTTTAGAAGCCCCAACATGCACTAAATATGTCCTCCTGGGTCCTCCTTTAGGCCCCAAGCCCCAGCCCTGGGTCAGCCCCCACTTACCCGCTCTAGAGAATTCCAGAGGCAGCGATTAGAAAAAGAGATGGGAACATGCATTCATTCATTCTTTGAACAGCTGTTTACTGCGAATCTCCTATGTGCCAGGCACAGATCCAAGTGCTGGGAGAGTAGAAAGGGCGAATAAAACAGAACCAATAAAAGAGCAGAGCAATTAGGAACCCAGTTGCTGGGGTCTGTCCACTAGAGTTGGAATTGGAGATCTACTGCTTACTAGCTGTATGGGTTACTAAGCCTCGGTTTGCTCAGTGAGGATAGTGATAGCACCTTACCAAATGGGTTACAAGGAGCCCTGGTGGCATAATGGTTATGCACTCGGCTGCTAACTGAAAGGCTGACGGTTCAAAATCCACTCAGTGGTGCTTCAGAAGAAATGCCTGATGATCTCCTCCCGTAAAGATTACAGCCTAGAAACCCTATGGGTAACTCTACTCTGTCATATAGGGTCTCTGTGAGTCAGAATCGACTCCACAGCACCCAACAACAATAACATGGGCTTACGGTGTGAGTCAGATGAGTTCATTAATGAATGTAATAGTGCTTAGCATACGGTTTACTAGTCAAGTGCTGAACCATTTATGCCACCCAGGGGCTCCTGAGGTGGTAATCTACTTGGGGTAGAAGGGAAGGCATTCTTGCTGGCGGGAACCATGGCCAAAGGACTAGAGGAAAAGATGTATGGGCTTAGTGGTCCTAGACAGGAAACTCTTGCCTCGGGTAGGGGATGAGATGATCAAATTCAAGGCTTAAGTTTTAGAAGGAGAAAGAAGGGAAATGAGTTCGAAGGAGCCTCACAATACGAGGTGAGGGGGTGTGAGAATGGGGAGGCAGCTCGTGGGTGCCATCCTGAATTAACCTAGGCTGAGGGTTTCTTTACAGACCGCTGCAGGCAGGAATCATGTCTCAGGCTGTGATGGCCCCAGCAACAGCTGCGGTGAACCCAGGGCCTGATGGGAAGGGGAAGGGGGCCCCACCTGCAGGGCCATCCCCAGCCACCTATCCCACCCAGGCCCCAGCATCTGTGCCCGTGCCCAGTGCCAAAGTGGGGGACCTTCTTCCTGGGAACTACAAGGTAAGGACCTGGTGGGGGCATGGCTGGGCTCTACTGGCTCCCCCTCTTTCTCCTCCTCTTCTTGTTCCTCCCCTTACCCCCTCCTCCTCCTCTTCCTCCTCCTTCTCCCTCCTCCCCCCATTCTTCTTCTTCCTCCCTTCTTCCTCCTGTTCCTCCCCCTCTTCTCTTCCCCTCCTCCTCTTCCCCTTCTTCCCTCTCATCTCCCTTTCACGCCCCTCCTTTGCCGAATTTCTCTCCTTTCCCGTCTTCTCTCCTTCCTCCTCCTCCACCCCTCATCCTGCCCCTCCTCTGTCTCTTCTCTCCTTTTCCTCCTCCTTTGTCCCCTCCTCCACTCCTCTTTCCCAGCCACAAATGTGACCCAGGCCAATCTGGGAGTCCAAGAACGTGGCCAGGGGCTTCAGCAAACCTGGAAAAAGGAGTACCATTACTTCTGGAGCTGCTAAATAACCACCACCACCAAAACGTAACACTGCACGCTTCAAGGGACACCTGCCAGTCGGGCCAGACCCGCGCAAGGCCGTGCACAGAGTTCGTCAAAAGCAAGAAGCAGACGGAGATCGAAAGCAGTGGGCTGGCTGCACTGCAGGAACAGCCTGTCTGAGGAGGTTTGCTAGGCCTGCAGGATGGCCTCAGACCCTCCTGAAGATTGTTCTCAGTGGTCAGGGCTGAAAGGGTTCCTGGAAAGCAAGGTGCCCAGTCCTCTGGGGTTTGGGTTGGTTTGGTGTCAACCTCAAATGCACAGAGCCGGATCATTTCAAAGTCCTCGGTCCACAACGTGCTGCGACTTGGTCCATGCAAGGCCTGCTTTCATATACCGAGGAGCCCCTGGCTGGTGCAGTTACCGCACTCAGCTGCTGACTGAAAAGTTGCAGTTTCAAGCCCACCCAGAGGCGCCTCGAAATAAAGCCCTGGTGATCTGCTTCCGAAAAATCAGCCTTTGGAAATCCTATGGAGCATAATTCTACTCTGACACACATTGCTGTCCAGTGATTCCGATTTTGGTGACCCCGTGTGATAGAACTGTTCCACAGGGTTTTCAAGGCTGTGACCTTTTGGAAGATCAACAGGCCTTTCTTCCCAGGTGCCTCTGGATGGATTCAAACTGCCAACCTTTCTGTTAGTAGTCGGGCGCTTAACCGATTGTGCCACCACAGCAACAAATAGGCTAGTATTTAATTTTTATTTAATTTGTAATACTGCAACAAGCACCTGCAAACCCACCCACCCCGCCGCCCCCATTAAAAGTCAGGACTTGTAAAAATCCTCTAACTGTACGGTGGCTCGTATGAGCCCACCCCCTGCCCCCCCGCCACCATCAAGGCAACAGCCATCCTTACCCCCGTGTCTGTCATCTGCTTGTTTTCTTTTTTATATACTTTTCTGCATTATTACTTTAAAAAGTATAGACACATGAAAAAGGCAGACATAGACAAGGGTCTTCCTTGTTAATTTATTGAAATATGCCGTATGCAGTTATCGCGGAAAGCAGCCCTCGTGGTACAACAATTAAGTGCTCAGCTGTTAACAGAAAGGTTGTTGGTTGGAACCTACCCAGCGGCGCCTCAAGAGAAAGACCTGGCGATCTGCTCCCGTAAAGATTACAGCCGAGGAAACCCTATGGGGCAGTTCTACTCTGTCACATGAGGTCGCTATGAGTTGGAATAGACACAATGGCACCTAACAACAACAGCTATCATTCTGGATTTTTCTGTTTTCTTCCACTTACTGTGAGATTGCTAATATTCACTCATAACGTTGTACGGTACTGTGGGTCATTTGTCTCAGCTGTCGGGTGGTATTTCAGAGTGTTTCCAGACCGCTATATACCCATCGCTCTCCTGCTGAGGACCATGGGGGTCGTGGCTAGGTTTTGCCTTCATGAACAGTGAGGCTGGGGTTTGCTTATCTATATTTCCCAGGGCACATATGCAAGAGGTCCTCTTGAATAGATAAGAGTAGGAGTGGCTGTGCCCCGGCCAAGTTATGTGGAAAAAGCAAGCTGCATTGTCGAGTCACCTCTGACTCATGAAGCCACCATGGGTGTCATAGGAGAACTGTGCCCTGTAGGGTTTTCAGTGGCTGATTTTTTGGTAGTAGGTCGCCAAGCCTTTCTTCCGAGGTGCCTCTGGGCAGACTCCAATCTCCAAACTTTCCTTAGCAGCCAAGTGCATGAACTATTGGCACCATCCAGGGACTCCTGTTCCTTTCACAGCTGGGGAAACTGAGGCTCAGGGAGGTAAGACCCTTGGCTCGGTTCTCACAGCAAGTGAAGAGCAAGGTTTTCCAACCCGGGCAGAAACAAAACCCAGGGCTTAGTGAAAGGAGGAGACGAGCCCAAGTTCACCGTGTAGTGGTCGAAAGACTGGCACGTGTTTCCTGAGCGTCAGCTCTGCAGCAGGCTCTGGGGATGGAGATACAGAAATGGATCATCCCCTGGCCTTGTCCTTGACGAACGCTTGTTTGAAGGGTGAGGACAAGGGAGGAGGAGGGGCACAGAGAGAGAGAGAGACCTAGAAGCAAAACAGCAGGAACTGTTCGGTGTGTTAATACACGGTGCTAATGGGATGAGTAAGGAGCCCTGTTGGCGCGACAGTTAAGCGCTTGGCCGCTAACCAAAAGGTTGGCAGTTCAAACCCACTCAGTGGCTCCATAGGAGAAAAACATGGTGATCTGCTTCCCTAAAGATCACAGCCAAGAAAACACTATGGGGCAGTTCTACTTTGTCACATGGAGTTGCTATGAATCAGAATTAACAGCGTCCAGTAACAACAATGGGATGAATACAATGTAGGGAACTCAATCAAGCCCAAATGGGAGAGGGCATCAGGGAAGGCTTCCTGGAGGAGGTGACAACTGAGCTAAGAATAGGAGCATGACTTTGGCCATGGGAGTTCTGGGATGGGAATGTGTGGTAGAGAGGGCATTCCAGGCCAAAGGAGCAGCACAGAGAAAGGCCTAGAAGGGAGATACATCAAGTCCAAATGATGGTGCAGGTTTTAAATACAAGAGTAGGGGAGGGAGGAGGACAGGATCATTTCACAGTCCCGGGTTCAGGACATGCTGTCATGTGGGCTGTACATGACCTGCTGTGCTTTAGGTACCTACTCGTTTTTGCCCCCCCACCTCCACCCCATCTGGAAGTAGCCCTCCCCTCTTACCCAGTCCCTCACCATGGGGGCTTCTCTCTTGCAGCTGGTGGTCTTCGAGCAGGAGAATTTCCAGGGCCGACGGGTAGAATTCTCAGGGGAGTGCTTGAACCTGGGAGACCATGGCTTCGACCGAGTGCGCAGCATCATCGTCACCTCGGGACCGTGAGTGTGTGTGGGTCCCTCCACCCTCTGCCACAGAAAAATAATAATAACAACCAGACAATTGCAGCTGCCACTTACTAGGAGCCTGCTCCTGCCTGCAACCATGCTTACAGTGGCACATATATTACTTCCAATCCTCATTCCAAACCCAGGAGTCCCTGGGTGATGCAAATGGTTAAGTGTTTGACTACTAGCTGAAAGGCTGGCGGTTCGAACCCAACCAGAGGTGCCCCAGAAGGCAGACCTACTGATCTGCTTCCAAAAGGTCAGCCTTGAAAATATGGAACAGTTCTACCCTGCACACATGGGGTCACCATGAGTCAGAATCAATGCAACGGCAACTAAAAACATTTCAAACCCAAGAGGGAGGTATTAGTCTCTTTCCCATTTTCCAGATGAGAAAATTGAGACTCAGAATGGTGATCCAATTAGTATAAGGTCACACAGCCGGTAAGTCATGATTCTGGGCTCCAGAAAAATGCTGCTTCTACTGCCAAAGGAGCCCTGGCTCATCACTGAGGCCAGGAGGAGGCCAAAGGGTCAAGGGTTCACCAACTGTCCCACCCCCAGACATCAAGCAGTTCTAGGAGTAATAATAAACATCTGTTGAGCACCCACTAGGTGCCAGGTTCTGGCTGAGGGCTTTCCTAGATGATCTCACAGTGCTCTATAAGGGAGGGACTATTCTTTTTTCACAATATTTTGTGAAACACCACTTCAACAACATCTACATGTACAACTCAGTTTCACTGATAACATTCTTCAAGTTGCGCCACCATTCTCACTATCCTTCTCCAAACTGTTCCACTACCATTAACTTAAACTCAACACTCCCCCTAAGCTTCTCATCTAAACTTCCGAGTTGCTGTTGTCAATTGGATCGCACACAGATAATTCTTTGAAAGAGCACAACGCTCAAGGCAGACATACATATTAAGATAAACTATTTTTTGGTTCAAAGCAGACTTCAGGGGATAGTTTTGGTTTAAGGTTTAAAGTTTAAAGATTATCTCAGGGCAACAGTTTCAGGGTTTCATCTGGCCTCAGTGGCTCCAGGAAATGTGGACTCCATGAGAATTTTCAATTCTGTTCTAAATTCATCCCCCTTTTGATCAGGATTCTTTATAGAATCTTTGATCAAAATGTTCAGTAATGGTAGCCGGACACCATCCAGTTCTTCTGGTCTCATGGCAAAGAAGGCAGTTGTTCAGGGAAGCAACCAGACATGCATCCATTTCCTCCTCTGATTGCTAACTCTCTTTCTTTGGGAGGGACTATTCTTACCCTCATTTGACAAATGGGGAAACTCAGGCTCAGAGTGTTTTTTTTTCAGCCCCAGTGCTTTAATAACCATGCTTCACTGCCTGGTTCCAATTGCCTCGGCTTCTCTGGGTCTCACAGCCCATTATAAAGCAGTAATGATTGTTCCTGTACACTGAGGTCAGTATGCTGGGCCAGCCTCAGGACAAGACTCACATGGCCCCTTAGCCTCTTTTTCCCCCACCCTGAAAGTCCCCAAGTGGTATGGGGCTGCAGCAAACAGGATTCAGCTTGTATTCTGAGCATCTATGGGCTCAGAGAGACCTGGGTTCAAGTCTCAACACCGTCATTTGCCTTGTCTATTCTCTGAGGCTCAGTTTTCCCATCTCTAAAACAGGGAGAATAATGGTTCCCACTGCCCCTCAATAGGATTATTCTGAGGGCTAAAGGAGATAATGCAGGATGTTGCTGCTGTTAGTTGCCATCAAGTTGATGCTGACTCATGGTGACCCCATGTGACAGAGTAGAACTGCTCCATAGGGTTTTCTTGGCTGTAATCTTTACGGGAGCAGATCGCCAGGTCTTCTCTTCTGCAGTGTCACCGGGTTGGTTTGAACTGCCAATCTTTTGCGTACCAGCCGAGCGCAAACTGTTTGCACCACCCAGCATCCTTAATGCAGGATCAGCCTGGCACTTCATGGGCACCCAAATATGCCAGGTCACTAGGATGATTCTTTCCCTCCCTGTTGCCCTGTGAGTTTAACCAAGTTACCCTGGTCAGGGGTAGGCCTGGGCAGGAGGTGGGGTGGGGAGGTGTATTTCCATCTCCTGTACCCACCCCACCCCCGATGTGATCAACACAGCCTCAGCCCCACCCTCAGCCCCACAGCCCAGCTGGAGACAGAAGCAGCCACCGGATGTGGCCAACTCGGGTTTTAAAGCTTTTTTCGGTGCTGGTGACTCAAACCCAGAGTATTTCTCCTGAAACCAAAAATCAGCTGGTATGTACTCTGTGGCTGTGCCCAATGGGGAGAGAAATGGGCCTGTGGTCCAGGGGCCTGGGTCTGTGTCAGGGCTGGGCAGGGCTGTGGGAGAGGCAATGGTGGGAAAGAAAATGAGGAGGACGAGGTGGGCAAGGGACAGGGGAGTGTGCTCCTCAGCACGGGGCTAGGAGACTTAAATCTGACACTTGACACCATCATGTGCCCTTAGACTGGTAACTTAATCCCCTTGAGCCTCAGTTTCCACATCCATAAGCTAAGATTTCTGCCCTACCTCTCTCACTGCTCATAAGGCCCAAATGAGTTATGCTGTGTTATTGTTAGGTGTTGTGGAGTTGATTTTGACTTATAGCAACCCTGTGTGTCCTGGTCGTCTAGTGCTGCTATAACAGAAATACCAGAAGTGGATGGCTTTAACAAAGAGACGTTTATTCTCTCATAGTCCTGTAGGCTAGAAATCTGAATTCAGGGCACCAGCTCCAGAGGAAGGCGTTCTCTCTCTGTCAGCTCTGGAGGAAGGTCCTTGTCATCAGTCTTCCCTTGGTCTGGGAGCATCTCAGCACTTGAACCTCAGGTCCAAAGGACGCGCTCTGCTCCCGGCACTGCTTTCTTGGTGGTATGATGTCCCCATGTCTCTGTGCTCACTTCTCTCTTTTATATCTCAAAAGAGATTGGCTTAAGACACTGTCTAATCTTGTAGATCTTATCAGTATAACTGCTGCTAATCCGTCTTATTACATCATAGTGATAGGATTTACAACACATAGGGAAATCACATCAGATTTCAAAATGGTAGGCAATCATACAATACTGAGAATCATGACCTAGCCAAGTTGACAGATATTTGGGGGGGACACAATTCAATCCATGACACCCATGTGACAGAGTAGAACTAACCCCATAGGGTTTTCTAGGTTGCAGTCTTTACAGAATCAGATCACCAGGTCTTTCTCCTGCAGAACTGCTGGGTGTGTTTGAACTGCCAATCTTTCAATTAGCAGCCAAGCACTTAACCACCACACCACCAGGGCTCCTTAATTCCCCACTCATACAGTGGGTCCTCACTGGACATTGTGACTCCTGATGTGGGTAGGATGGGGGATCTTTTCTTGGGGGGTAAGAAGGGTGGCAAGACCACATATGAGTGTCTGTCTTTCCATAGGCTCAGACCTCCAGCAGGTCCCCTCCCTCTTTAATCATAAGTTATTATTTATTGTGCTTACTCTGTGCTGAACCTGTTCCATGCTTTCCCTCTTTAAGCTCTCATTACCTCCTGACAAGGTGGGTGCAGTCATTTCCTCTCCTTTACTGAGGCTTAGTGCACTTAGATGATTTGCCCAAAGTCACGCAACAAATAAATGCTGAACAGGGAATTTGGACCAAAGTCTGTCTCTTTCCAGAGTTCACCTTCCAATCTCCCTTTCCATCCATCCATCCATTCATCATCCATCTATTTACCCATCTATATATCCATTCATGCGGTCATCATGAGTCAGAATCAACTCAATGGCAACCGGTTTAGGGTTTTTTTTGTGTGTGTGGTGTATGTGTAAATATATATGAATATATATATATATATATATATACACATACATTCATAGATTGATCCATCCATCTACCCACCCAATCATCCGTCAATCCAACGGTCCTTCCATTTATTCATCCATCAGTCCACCCATCCATTCATTCTTCCATCATCTAGCCATCTACAATACACCCATCCATCCATCCATCTACTCACCTACCCCTTCATCCATCTACACACTCATTCACCCACCCATTCTTTCAACCATCAATTCACTCATTAATCCATTGATCGATCGATTGATTCATCCATCCATCCATCCATCCATCCATCCGTCCATCCATCCGTCCATCCATCCATCCTTAGCTCTTTCATCCCAGCCTCAGGAAGGCTGAGGAAGATTTAACCCTATTTCTGGGTGGACAAGTCTATGTCTTTAATTCTGTCACTCTAGTGTGGATTGGCTCATCCCTCAGACAAGGGCCTTAGGTAGCTGGGACACATTCTGTTTCAATCCATGGTGGTAGCCCATCACCTTCATCTCCCTCTGGGTAGAGGAGGGTCCCAGCTGCATCCAGGGAGATGACACCTATGTCCCCTGTTCCCTGAGAACTCCTGGACACATCTTGAGCAAAGTTCAAGGAGCACCTTAGTCTCAGCCTTCTCATCTATGAAATGGGGATCTTCCTCTCCCCCCACTCCCCAGCAACCCTGGTCTCTCTAATACAAGATCACTTCCTAGCCTTAATTAGATTGCACTGGGAAAGCCAGGAAAAGCCCCCACCGGACTTCATACTTTGTAATTTGTCCCTATAGAGAAGTGAACGCCTTTATGTGCAATATCACATTTAATTCTCACAGGTATCTGAGAGGTAGGTATTACTATCATTCCTCTTCCACTGTCTCCATACCAATTACTGAGTGTCTTCTGTGTGCCAACCTTGCCTTTTTTTTTGGGAGGGGGAAGTATACACAGTGAAGGGTAAACCATTTTAACAATTTCTACATGTACAGTTCAGTGACATTGATTACATTATTCAAGTTGTGCCACCATTCTATCTATCCTTTTCCAAATTATTCCACCACTATTATCTTAAACTCAATGCCCCCAAGCTTCTCATCTAACCTTTCGAGTTGCTGTTGTCAGTTGGATGGCACATAGATAATTCTTTGAAAGAGCACAACGCTCAGGGCAGAGATACTTATTAAGATAAACTATTTTTTGGTTCAGAGCAGACTTCAGGGGATAGTTTTGGTTTAAAATTTAAAGATTATCTCAGGGCAATAGTTTTGGGGGGTGCCAGGCTTGTATTTACTCAACATTTGACTCAAGCCTCTATTGTGATTTGTTCTTATCCCAGCACCTCCAGGACTACTATTTATTTAATATGTTTCATTTAAATTGACCCTTTTTTTACACAGACAAATATATTTAAAAAGAAATTTTATATCACTTTTATAAATGGAAAGCTAGTATCACTTGCTCTAAGTAAAAGGCATCCCTAAAAAATTAATGCAATGAACACAAAGCATTGTTGTTACACAGTTGCCTGCTGGAGCATCTGAGCCTGAGGCCTGCTCTTCCTCTGGGACAAAGAGAAAGATTACCAGGTGTTAAGAGCTCAGCAGTTTGAACCCACCAGCAGCTCTGTGGGAGAAAAGACCTGGCAATCTGCTCCTGTAAAGATTACTGCAGTTCTCCTCTGTCCTATAGGCTCACTATGATTCCGAATAGACTTGAAGGCACGCAACACCACCCAAAGTTGCATTACCATCAAACAGAGACTTTCCCCTGGCTGTTGTTAGTTGCCATTTAGTCTGCTCCTACTCATGGCCACTTTATGGCTAACAGAACACAAAGTTCCTTGGTCCTGTGCCATCTTAATGATCTTTGATACATTTAAGCCCATTGTTGTGGCTACAGTGTCAATCCACCTCATTGAGAGTTTCCCTCATTTTTGCTGACCCTCTCCCAGCTGTAACCAGGATCATAAGAAAATGACTTTCTCCTTCTCTGTTATTTGACACCAGGTCCTCGTAGTACTTAAAATGACAGTGTGACTCCTACATTTGGGGAAATACTTTGCTCAGATGTTGTTGTTAGCTTCTGAGTTGGCCCTGACTCATGGTGACCCTGACTCATGGCAACCCCGTGCACAACGGTCTTGCGTCATCCCTATCATTGGTTTTGGATAGGATCATTGTGATCATTGGCTGATTTTTTGGAAGCACATCGCCAGAACTTTCCTCCTAGTCTATCTTAGTCTGGAAGCTCTGCTGAAACCTGTTCAGCATCATAGCAACACACAAGCCTCCACTGATAGATGGGTGGTGGCTGTGCATGAGGTGCACTGGCCAGGAACTGCAGCCGAGTCTCCTGCATATGGGAGGCAAGAATTTTGTCATTGCACTACCAATGCCTCTTTGCTGAGATAATTACACATATTATCTCATTTGATCCTTCACCAACTCCAAGAAAATAGGCATACTAGTGTAGATGAGGAAACTGAGGCTCAGAGAGGTGAAGCCATGTACCCATGGTCACACAGACAGTAAGTGGCATAGCCGAGAATCAAACCCATTGGTGTCAGGCCCCCTTTGGACGTTCCCACTGGCCTTGGGGCTGCCTTACAAGGGGGAGGTGGGAAGGCAAGGGGGGGTGGCTTCAGCTAATGATTTCTCTCCTCTCTGCCTCTTCCCCTCTGGGCCTTCTCCATCCCCACGGTCCCTCTCACGTCCAGTTGGGTCGCCTTTGAGCAGTCCAACTTCCGGGGGGAGATGTTTGTCCTGGAGAAGGGCGAGTACCCACGCTGGGATACATGGTCGAGCAGCTACCGCAGCGATCGGCTTGTTTCCTTCCGGCCAGTCAAGATGGTAAGTGGCTCTTGGGCCAGGGCTGGGTGACCAGTGCGGCAGGGCAGGGGCAAGTCTGAGATCTGACACTGAGTGAGGAAATGGGGTAGGGGGTGGAAGGCGGGAATAGTAGACAGGGAAGTGTAGCAACTGGGCTAGCTGTTACTCTGAACCGCGTGAGGCAAGGACAATCTCATTCTACAGATGAGCAAACTGAGGCTCGAGGGTGGGCAGGATAAAATGTCCAAAGTCACCAGCACAGAAGTGTCAGAGGCAGAATTTGAACCCATATCTGTGTTCCCCCAGTGCCCCATGGTGTCCTCAGGATCAATTCCTCACTTTCATCCAATTCATAAGAAACACACAACTGACCAATGGCACACAGAAATATTTTTCTGCTGTGTGATATTGGTCAAGAACCTTGACCTCTTTGAACCTCTCTGTCCCTGACCATAATAGTAAACATATGAGTAACTTTTTTGGAGCACCTGGTGTATGCCAAGCACAGTGCTAAGAGCTCTAGAGGGAGTAACTCATTTAAGCCTCATGACATCCTTATGAAGCAGAGATCGTTGTTATTGTTGTTAGGCACTTTTATGTCGATTCCAACTCATAACCTGTTGCTGTCAAGTCAACTCCAACTCACAGCAACCCTGTAGGACAGAGTAGAACTGCCCCATAGGGTTTCCAAAGCTATAATCTTTATGGAAGTAGACTGCCACATCTTTCTCCTGCAAAGTGGCTAGTGGGTTTGAACCACTGATTTCTGGTTAGCAGGAGAGCACTTAACCATTGCACAACCAGTGGTCCTTTCCCGACTCATAGCGACCCTATATGACAGAGTAGAACTGCCCCTCAACTGCCACATCTTTTCTCCGACGGAGCGGCTGCTGGGTTTGAACCACCAACCTTTTGGTTAGCAGCCGAGTGCTTAACCATTGTGCCACTGGGGCTCTTGAAGTGGGATCGTTGTCCCTCTTTTCAAAGATGAGGAAGTCCCTTTCAGGCCGGACAGCTAAGATCCCAGGAGAGTACCACGGTGTTCTGACCGCACTTAACTCTCTCTCACTTCTTATCTCTGGCCAACACCCAGGAGACCCCACGAAGTTACTTCTCTTTCCCCTGTCCATACTCGGCATGCCTGACCCTCCCTCTCGCTCCCCAGGACTCCCAGGAGCACAAGATCTGCCTGTTTGAAGGTGCCAACTTCAAGGGTAACGCCTTGGAGATCCAGGGAGATGATGTGCCCAGTCTCTGGGTCTACGGCTTCTGTGACCGCGTGGGCAGTGTGCGAGTCTCCAGTGGGACGTAAGCGTCCCTACAGTCTTGCCCTCGTCCCCTGCTTCAAGCACAGACAGGCTGGAGGCTGTGCCCTCATGAGATATCTTATCAGAGGCGTAGGAAAGGCCATGCCCCTCCCAGATCCTCCCAGTGCCCGTGCCTGGGACTCCACCAATAGAGCGTGATGGTTCTGGGGCGTGGAGTCACACTAATTACATGTCAGTGTAGACAAATCTGCCAATTGGTTCTAGAAAGCTGGAAGGTGGGGAGAATAGGCAGCTGCTAAACTCAGACTGGGATGGGGGAATAGATAAGCAAGGAGCTAGGGTTGATGTGGATAGATGATTCTGGATGTGTCTAGGGAAAGATAATATTCACAGAAATCCAGAGGGTTGGGGGGACATCAGCAGAATGGCTTCTGAGAGGTGAATCTGTATAATGAAAGACTGTTACTGATGACCTGTGAAGCCTGGGTGAGCCCCACTCCCCTCTCTATGCCTTAGTGTTGTTTATCCGACCCCTAACTCATCACTTGCAGTGGGATATGTATTAATCTGCCTACCTCCAGCAGGCAACATGCCGAGCGAGCTCTTTAGGTACATTTTCCCATTCGGCTCCTGCAACACCCTACTAAACCTGCTACCATGAGCATTCCCATTTTCCAGAAGTGGAAACTGAGGCCTGTCAGAGAAACGAACTCATTGCCCAGGATTGTCTGTGGACCAGGATTGTTGTTTGTTGCCGTCAAGTCGGCTCCGACTCACAGTGACTTTAATGTATGACAGAGCAAAACGCTGTCTGGTCCTGCACCATTTTCATGATCATTGGTATGTTTGAGGTTTCCCTCATTTTGTTGGCCCTCTGCTTTTACCAGACATGATGTTCTTTCTAGCAATTGGTCTTTCCTGATGCCATAGCCGAAGTAAGCAAGCCAAAGTCTTGCCATCTTCGCTTCTAAGATTCCTGTTGTATCTCTTCTAAGACTGATGTGCTCGTTCTTCTGGCAGTCCGCAGTTTATTCGGTATTCTTGGCTAACGCCACAGTTGGAACGCAGCAGGGGCACACAGCAGGCAGGGGTAAAGCCAGGGTAGAGGAGCCCTGTGTGATCCATGCCCGAACCCCAGAGGGGAAAGATGGAGAGCAGACCACAGGGAGAGATGGAAAACTGGCATGGGCTGGGCGAGGTCTGGGTGCAGGTCAGGGTAGCTGTCTGCGTCTCCACGCTGTCCTTCTTGCTTCCCTCCAGCTGGGTAGGCTATCAGTATCCTGGCTACCGTGGGTACCAGTATCTCCTGGAGCCCGGCAACTTCAAGCACTGGAACGAGTGGGGGGCCTTCCAGCCACAGATGCAGGCCGTGCGTCGCCTGCGTGACAGGCAGTGGCACCGGGAGGGCAGCTTCCCTGCCCCGGCCACTGAGCTCCCCAAGTGAGCCCCTACTCCACTCTGCTCTCATGCCCTACCCCTTCTTCAGGCCCCATTTTCCCTTCTTTCCCATGCAAATAAAAGTTCTAAGGCCAAAATGTCTCCTGCGTCTGTGAACAAGGGTATGCCTCGAGGTCTCCCATTACTGTGAGATGTGACTTTCTCAGTTACAGTAACAAAAATAGCAAGCACTGTGGAGTTCGTCACACACATTATCTTAGCATTTCCTTGTAAGGAAATATCTCCTCTAGGAAGCTGGTAGGAGCCCTGGGTTGTGCAATGGTTAAGCACTTAGCTGCTAACGGAAAGGTTGGCGGTTCGAATCCACCCAGTGGCTCTGTGGGAGAAAGATCTGGCGATCTAGTTCCCTATAGACTGCAGCCAAGAAAACCATATGGGGCAGTTCTGCTCTGTCATGTGGGGCTGCTGAGTCGAAATCAACTTGATGGCACCTAACAACAACAACAGCAAGTAGGTGTTAAAAAAAATCTGTTGTCATTGAGTCAGTTCCGACTCATGGGGACCCCATGTGCTTCATGGAGAGCTGTGCTTCACAAGGTTTTCTTGGCTGTAATTTTATGGAAGCAGATTGCCAAGTGTTTCTTCCAAGGTACTGTTGGGTGGATTCGAACCACCAATCTTTGGGTTAGTGGCAGAGAGCAAACTGTTATCTTCACCCAGGGACCTGGGTATTATAAGTATTCCCGTTTAACAAGTGAGGAAATTGAGGATTGGGGAGGGGAAGTGACTTGCCCAAGGTCACACAGCTAGTGAGTGGAGATTTAACCCCAGGCAGGCTGCCTCCAGAGCCTGCACTCTTCAACAAATCTGTTTTCAAACTCTAGTCCTTCATGCACCACCCTCAGGATTTCTTTCCCTACCTGCACACCACCTGTTCTGTTATTTACTTAATAATTTCATTTAAATCAACTCACTACTTTGTGTTTGAAATAAAACTTTATAACGCTACAGGAAGTGGAAAATCAGCATCATATATCATAGATAGAAAGCAATCCTAAAAATAAATACAGTTTAAAGAAGTCCAGGTATCTAACTCCCAGCACAAGCTACTACCTATGGAAGGCTCTTATCCTGGGATCTGCTTTCTCCTTGGCAAAATGGGTCATTAGCAAGTGTTGGAAAGAAGTGTGAAAGACACACTTGCACCAAACTGGGATTTCCTCTCCCTGCCCCATGCGATCAAAGAAGATTGACAAGAGCATTGTTTTTTCATATCTGATTCACTGTTGTTTAATCCCGGGTCCAGGTTCCACCTGGAATCATCTCTTGTATTACAAATGGTACGCGTCTTGCCCTTTAGAAATCTGTAGCAGGAAATCTCGCCTCCCATATCAATAGTTAATATTGATTGATGTTATTAATCTTTAATCCATTCAGGGAACGTGGTGGGAGGGAGGGGTGGAAATTTTCCTGGAGGAGGCGGTATTTGAAGGGGCCCTCGAGGATAGACCAGAAGCTTGTTTGGTGGAGAAGGGTGGCGGGGAGGCGCTATTCCAGGCAGAACAAACAGCATGGTCTCTGCTAGTCCATATGGCACCTTTGTGTAAATTTTACTGCCATCTGCCAGACATCGCTGATATAAATCTATGGTGCCTACGATGTGAATGCAGCATCCTTGTGATGTGCCCAACTTGGACAGCTGTACTTGGCAGCCGTGGAGCACCATGGGCAAAGGAGCAGAGGTTAAGAGAACTTGTGGGCTGGGAGCAGTAGCTTGGTGGTTGGGTGGGCAGAAGTAGGGGGTGGGAAGGAAGTGCTGACGTGGCAGGAGATGAAGCTGGCAAGAAAGGTGGGGCTTCATCAACGTCTACTCTGAGCTTCGAAGTTGAAGTACTACCTCATAGCGCTTTACCTTCTGGCATGCATACCCTCCTTCTCCCTTCCACCCTAGTTCTCCCCACCTCCACCGTCCAATATGACCAGCATCTTGGACTAGAAGACCTCTCTGTTACCCTTTTCATCTTTGTTTTAAAGTAATTGCTGACCGTTTGGTTTCATATAGGTGATTTTTCAAAGAAGCACAGTACTTAGGTGTGATATTCATTATCTTGTGAGCCAGTCTGTTATTTAGCTACAAGGTGGCCTCAGGGGTTAGTTTTGGTTCAAGGTTTGAAGAGTATCTCAGGGCCATAGTCTGGGGGAGTCCTCCAGTCTCAACCAGTCCAATAAATCTAGTTTAGTCTTTCTTTTTCATTGTCCCACTTTCCCGTGCATATGAGGTGATTAAAAAGACCATCCTGGTTCCTGAAAACCCTATGGGCTAAGGTTGTTGTTGTCATTGCTAGTTGCTGCCCAGTCTATTCTGACTCACGGTGACCCCATGTGTGCAGAGCAGAACTGATCCATAGTGTTTTCAAGGCTGTGAACTTTCAGAAGTAGATCGCCAGGCGTTTCTGGGGTGGGTTCGAACTGTCAACCTTTTGGTTAGTAGTCGAGCACTTAACCATTTGCGCCACCCAGGGACTCCTTGGACCAGGATTACTGAGCAGGAATCAGGAGTCCTCCTCTGCTGTTAGAAGCTCTAAAATGTTGGGCAAATCACTTCCATTCCCTGGGACTCGTTCTTCCCTTCTGTAAAATGACAGCTCAATTGTCCATTCCAGCTCCAAGGTTCTAACACTGAAATTCTATGATTCCAAAGTTCCACAGTTCTCTAAGAGTCTGTAATTCATCTCTAAGATTCTATGATTCTCTAATCCCAAAGTCAAGATACCAAGACTCCGATTCTCAGTTCCTAAGATTCTGTGAGTATGGCTTTAAATAAAATTCGACTGTGTGAAGTCAAGCCTTCCAATCAGGTGAGCCACATGAATTCAACTCTCACATTTCATCAACTCAAGACTCCATTGACTGTATGGTGCACCATTATTTTATGAAGAGATACTATTAAAGTATAGCACAGTTGCCTTCTGATCACTTGGAATTTTTATTTTATACTTGTTGAAAGAACTAGTCTGCACTTATTTAGGCATAACTTTTTTTTTCTCTGTATCAATCTTGGGAGTACTATAAAAGGGGAAAACAGTAGATATTCATTAAGTTATAAAGCTTCTTTGCGTTCATAATCTAAAATAAGTATTCTTGGCTAGTATTCTTGGAATGATTTCAACTCAGAGTTGTCGATATCTGTCTCAGGCTGGGATCTCCAGAGAAGCAAAACCAGTAAAGCATATAGATATATATACATATATAGAGAGAGATTTATATCAAGGAAATGGCTCTTGTGGTTGTAGAGGCTGGAACGTCCCAAGTCCATGGGTCAGGCTAGAGGTTTCTCCTGATTTACGTAGCTGCGGGGGCTGGCAAACCCAAGAACCCAAGGTCAGACAGCAGGGCTCTGGCTCACAGGTTGCGAACACCGTCAAATCCCAAGATCAGCAGGCAAGACAGGAGGTAAGCTGCTAGCTCAAGTCACAAGAACTGGAGGTGAGACAAACAGGAGCCAGCTGCAGGATCCAGAGTGAGCAAAAGCCCACGAGCCTTGCCAGAATGTCCACCCATACGGGAAGCAGGCCACACTCCCAAGGAAACTCCCATTCTCTAGAAGGGCTACTCACAGCAGATCCCATCATGGAGGTTATCACATTATATCAAATCTCATCATGGAGATGATCATATCATTATACGACTGCCAAACTACGTAACAACTGCCAAACCACTGAGAATCATGGCCCAGCCAAGTTGACACACAACCTTAATGACTACAATATCCTTATTGTCTCCCAAGTGTCGACATATAAAAAGAAGTATATATTAACATTGCCGAAATATGATATATACCAGTGACAAAACAAAAAAAGAAAAACTGGGGAAGAATCACAATTAAAGTAGTTACTTTATATTTAGCTTGTTATTTTATCAATAAATTTATTTAATATATGGTAAGGAATTTATCCACCACCATCTGCCAGTTTGTTGTACTGTGGTAGCTTATGTGTTATGATGCTGGAAGCTATGCCACTGGAATTCCAAATACCAGCAGGGTCACCTATGGTGGAGAGGCTTCAGTGGAGCTTCCAGACTAAGACAGACTAGGAAGAAAGACCTGGAAATCTACTTCTGAAAATTAGCCAATGGAAGAAGAACCTTATGGATCACAACAACACACTGTCTGACTCACTTGCTTTGGATATGTTATTAGGAGGCTGGAGGAGAACATCATGTCTGGTGAAGCAGAAGGCCAGCGAGGGCAAAGGAGACCTTTGATGAGATGGGTTGGCACAATAGCCTCATCAATAGACTCAAACGTGCTGGTAGTTGTGAGGATGGCATAGGACCTAGTAATGTTTTGTTCTGCTGTACATAAGGTCACCACGAGTCCGGGTCGACTCAACAGCTGCTAACAAAAACAACAATGAATTTTTAAATAAATAAACAATACATTTTGTAATTAACAAAAAATAAAAATTGCAAGCAGAAACAAATACGAAAGATTAAAAGAAAGTAACATATAAAAAGGCCAGCAGTGAGTATGTCATCGTTGTTATAACCCAGTGTTTGTTCTGTGGGTCCCAGTTTCGACATGCTATTTGCAATGTGAACATCTGAACCCCAGAGCAGAAATTCAGAGTTTAAAGATAAGTCACTTTTGTGCCTTGAAACTGAAACTTTGAGTTTCGACTTCATCGGGTGGTCAATCAAAGTAATAACCATGTGCATGGATGCTGGAAGAAGCCTGGGGAGCTGGACTCTCCGAGTGGCCAGGGGGTCCACAAGCCTTCTCCTGGGCTTCTCAGGGGTGATTCTGACTCTGCATGAGTTTTGCCCTAAACACTGAATTTAGAATTCAATGCCTGGCTAGCCCAGCCCAGGGTGACTTCGTTAAACTCACAGGGTAATAGGGAGGGAAAGAATCATCCTAGTGACCTGCCATGTTTGGGTGCTGTTATGGATTGAGTTGTGTCCCCTAAAAATGTGTGTCAACTTGGCTAGGCCATAATTCCCAGTATTGTGTGGTTGTCCTCTATTTTGTGGTCTGATGTTAGTATACTATATGTTGTAAATCCTAACCTTTATGATGTTAATGAGGCAGGATTAGAGGCAATTATGTTAATGAGGCAGGACACAATCTACAGGATTAGGTTGTATCTTGAGTACAATGTCTTTTGAGATATAAAAGAGAGATGTGAGCAGAGAGGAGAGGGACCTCATTACCACCAAGCAAGAAGAACC